ACTGCGTTCGCCAGAGCCCGCCGCCATTTTCCCCTTTGCAAGTGTCATTGTTAAAAACCCATCGGCGAGAATGAGGTAACGTTCTTTCCATTGACTACCGGCTGTCTCCTTGTAAACTATGCTTTCAATACGAGGCGTGGTGCTTGTTGCCATCTCCCGTTCCGTCTCAAAGTTGATCACCGCCTCGCCCTCCGCTATTCCGCTCATAACCAGTGCCCGGCCCTCCAGGGAAATATTATATTCGGGCAATGAACCCGCAAACCTCGCGGGATTTGCCTTGTAATTACTCTCCATTTCGTCATCCAATGCAATCATACGATCCACACGTTTCTTAAGTAAACACAGATAATGCTGCATCAATGGTGTTTTGAGAAGTTGGGAAGCGCTTGGCCGTTTCTCAGGGTCCTGCTGCAAAATGAACTCCAGGAACTCCCTCATCTCTCTGGATATGTAGCCCATCTTTTTCTGGGCTTGACGCTCCTCCTCTGAGACGCCGGCGTTTTCAGGAAGTACAGGGGGAAGCCACATGGCACCAGAGAGAACAAGTTCCTTCATTTTGGGAATGGAGTCCGCTTCGAAAGGCCGCCGTTTCCCCAAAAGTTCACACAGAACTATTCCAGCCGCCCAGATATCTGCTTTTTTGCCATAACGCTGCTCGCGCCACATCTCTGGGGCGAGATAGTAGCTTGTGCCAAGAAATGTGCAGGCTATTGGGTTCGAGACGGTGCTGTCGTACTGCTGTGAAAAGCCAAAATCACCAAGCTTCAAAAAACCACGCGTGGTCAAGAAAATATTCGCCGTCTTTACATCACGATGGATCATACGACGACGATGAACGTGGTCAAGACCAAGTAACAACTGCACAAAATAAATTCCGGCTTCTGTCTCTGAAAGACAAAACTCCGAAGACTCATTGTGGAGGGTGCGGTAGAGATCCCCCCCATCCGCAAACTCTGTTATAATTATAATTGTCTCATCCTCATCATCGATAAAAAAGTGCTCATAGTACTGTATGATTGCAAAATGATGATTACAGGCAAGACACATAATTTCAGTTTGAGCGTATCGTCTGTCATTTGGTGACATTGAAGTCAAATCCATCACTTTAGCTACAAATAAACGGGTTGCATCATCACCAGCTCTTTTTTTTATTTCGGAATCGCCTTTCCCTCCCGCTGCTTTTTTGGGGGATGGAATTGGATACAGTGGGTTGCGCTCAACAATATAAGCCTCACCAAATGCCCCTTTACCAATTGCTTTATTCTTTCGGTACCGCGCCTTTACGCTGTCGGCAGGTCCCAAGACTTCATCTAAAGAAACAGGTTCGGAACGATATGAACCTTTGACTTTTTCCTCACCTTCTCCAATAGGAATAGGGCGCATGTCATCACTTCCGTCCATCTTTTGTTCCCTGGCGCATTTTGGCAACGTTATTACTGATGTTACCGCGTCATCATTAATGTCATCCTCATTTAGACTGCCCATCGGCACGTCGCCATGCATATCCGTCCGCAGCTTTACGGCACCGTTGCCCATCAATCCAAGATGTCAATGGCAGTTCAACCAAAAAAAAAGAAAAGAAAAAAAACACAGTAAAGAAAAAAGCCCCAAGTTTAAATCTGTATGTTTGTTTATGTGTACAAATACCCAATGAAGGCCGTGGAATGACAAGTTGTCAGACTTGCGTGCTCTCCTTCCCAAAACACCCTCTACGAGTCGTATCAATATTTGGGTTTAATCCTACTGGACCCTCCTATCCACGTCCCCTTTCCTTTCTACGCTTCCCTTCCCCCTCCCCCTCCCCCTTCTCGGCCTATTTGTCACCTCCTTTTTTCTTTTTTTCCTTTTTGTGTGTGTGTGTGTGTGTGTGTGTGTGTTTGTTTGTATTTCTCCGTCCCCCCTTTTTTCCCTCTTGCAAACCGTTCTTCTTCTCCCCCCCGCCCAATTCTGCTAAACCCAACCGCTTTTTGGTTAAAATGAGGCCGGTTTTATTACTTTTCCGCTTTCCCCTCTCGCCCAATTTTTTTGTGTTTCTTTTTTTTTTTTTTCCGCCGCCTTCGACAAACCCCAAATAAAAAAATAAAAAATAAAAAAACCCGCAGACGGGGAGAGAAAAAAGGGTAAACAGACGTGCTCGGTCTACTTGAAAGAAATATTTGTTTTATCCCTTTGTGTAAGTGCTACAAACTGCCAAAGATACTTCTTTATGCACTGGCACAACACGCCTCCCCACACAAAATTGGTCCGCAAAGCAAATTCCTCAATGTACGCCCAGTGCAGCGTTAAAAGAAAAGGAAAAAAGAGACAAATAATAAATAAAAAAATATATTTTTAATACATGCATATAAGTATCCATATACATACATACAACCAGGCAATACCACGTCCAGGCACAAGCAAGAGAGAGAGAGAGAGAGAGAGAGAGAGAGAAAAAAGAAAAGTAAAGAGAAGCAAAGAATCCTTTAGTGCCACTGCTCGTGTCGTCTTACACCATGAATTCTTGTTTTCTCCCGTATCTTTTTTTCTTTTTTCCTCTTCAAAGGGAAAAAGACTTTCAAAGAAGTTTACATGCAGCCAATTAACGGCAACAACAACAAAAAAAAAAAAAAAAACATCCAGGTAGTGCTAACGCCAAAAACACTGAAAAAAGTGGTGCAGGAATAGAAAATTAAAAAAATCCCTATCACTCGTCCCTCATCTCTTCGTTTTGTCATTCATTTCTGTTAGTCAACAGCAAAAACGAGAAGTTAAAATAAACAGTGGCCGCAAAGGAAAAAAGAAACCGCCCTCATTCCACCAAAGCCTTTACAACACATGATGCATTCGTGCGTGAAGAGAGAAAAATTAGGGATATGGTTGTGGAGATGCAACTACAAATAACTCCGCAAATGCACGTACCCAGTCTCACTGAGACGCCGTTCCACGTTCTTCCAGTTGACAACGTTCCAAAAGGTCTGCACGTATGCCGCACGGTCGTTCTTGTAGTCCACGTAGTACGCATGCTCCCATACATCGCATGTAAGGAGAGGCTTCAAGTTGGGCTCTGTCAGTGGACATCCCGCGTCATGCGTCTGGTAGACCTTCAGTTTGCCGGAATTGGTGTCCTTCACAAGCCACGCCCAACCCGAGCCAAAGTGGCCCACAGCCACGTTTGTAAACTCCTCCTTGAACTTCGCAAAACTGCCAAATGAAGCGTTGATCTCGTCGGCAAGTTTTCCCGTCGGCTCGCCACCGCCATTAGGACACATGCTCTCCCAGTAGAACGTGTGGTTAAAAATCTGCGCCGCAAGGTTGAAGATGGGGCCTTTCTCCGTCCTGATGATCTCCTCGATGCTCTTCGTTGCAAGCGCGGAGTTTGTCTGCGCCGCAGCGTTGAGTTTCGTCACATACCCCTGATGGTGCTTGTCGTAGTGGAGCGTCACCTGCTGCTTTGAGAGGCCTTTTGCCGCAAGCCCATCGTAGCCCCATGGGAGCGGAGGAATGCTGAAGACCATAGACGCTGATGCACTTTTAGACTTCTCGTAGACACCGCAAGAAGGCAGCCCTCTCTCCCACCCTTTTTTTTTCCTAAGGGCCCAGCAAGAAAAAGGAAAGAATCCACCCCTCAGAGCCTTTTAATGGAAGAAAGAAAGGAGAGAAAAAAAAAAAAAAACTGTTCTTCATGTATTCAAGATTCCAAACATTTTCGTTTTTGTTGCAGTTGTTCTTCCCTCATTCGTAGTACACGTTTTTTGTGCGAAAGCCCTTCCCCTCAAAAAAAAAAAAAAAAAAGGAAACGGAAACGGAAGACCGGAGATGCACCGCAACTGGTGCTCCAAGGATGCACGCAACGCCCTCATACCGTGGGAGCCCGCCCAACACACCGATGAATTGTGGCCTCATTGAAATGAAAGCGTCGCCTGCACCCGGTACTATCCATCTCTTTACTGCGAATGCGTCCACAGAAAAAAAAGAAAAAAAAAAAAAAAAAGACGACGCTGCAGTGAACACCGGCGGGCTGTTTCTCCTTTCAAGGCCTCCATCATCACAGGATGATAAAAACAACAGAGAAAAGAATTAAAAATTGCTTCTCTTTCCTCCTCTTCCTCCCTGTCGTAGCACCCCGCACAGCCGCTGCGATAACAGACAGTAAAAGCAGTGCGGCTCTTCAATGAATAAGACGCACAGAAATGGCATATGAACACCTCATCCCGCGCCGTTTCCTTTCCTTCATATTGATAGGCACACACACACACACAGATATATGTATATTATATATTATATATATACCATAAACATTTTTTTTTCCCCACCCCTTTTTCTGATACTCACACTCCTTTTCCACACGATATCTTGCAAATAAATTTCACTGCTCTTTTTTGCTGTTTTTCCTTAACCAACTTTTTTTTTCTTTTTTTCTTTTTTGCGTGCGTGTGTGTTTGAATTTGTAAAGAAAAAAGGGGAAAAAAAAAAAAAAAAAAAAAAAGAAGGGGAAGACTGTCCCCTTCTCTCTTGGTTTCGTCATTTGTTTCATTTCTTTTCTTTTTCTTTTCTCGACATCTATTCTCTCGCTGGATCCGTGCACGTGTGTTTTTCCCGCCCATTTCATGTCTCTGCCACCACATAAACAAAAACAAAAACAAAAACAAAAAAAAGGGCTCTGGCGGAATCGTAATGAAAAAAAAAAAAAATATGTGCAGCCCCCCGCCGCCCCCTCTGTTCCCCTCCCTTCAATATCAGTGCGGCTTATGCCACGCCCGATGAAGAGGGGTACACACTGCACAATGCAAAAGGGCGTCAGAAACAACGATGAGAACGTCTAAGGTCGCCTGGATAGACAGCACAACCCCCCCCTCTGGCCCCACACATCACTAGACAAAAAGAAACGGCCAGAATACAAGCAAGCGTTCACAACCAGGCA